GCACTTACTCGTGCAAGTACGCTGAACCCTTGGATGCGTGAACAGCATTGCCGTGTGAGGAAGTAACCTAAAGTTGGCTACCTAACTGCTCCTTGTCTTTTGTGGCAACACTTCTCGAGTACTAAGGGCTCGTCACCATTCAACTGTCTGCGTATACTCAGGGTAGGGAGCCCAAAAAGCAAAACGGAGGTACCGAGGCCAATCCTCAAATCGGGTTCGAGTTGACAGCACTCCAGTGCGACCCCTACGTACCCGCCGCACTATTACATTCACATACTTTGTCAAAAATATTTGGAGGACAATAAACTATTCCATGCACAAAGGTGAACAAAGAACAATGAAATCCGGAGATGACGTTACCTTGGGCGGTCCAAAAGCAGGGCATAAAGTCAGCGAGTGCAGGGACTTGAAAAGCTATCCGATCCTACCTTATATAGAAGAGAACACCAAAAGCTTCTGACATTTCCAACTTATCCTCCCTGCGATCCAACATCCGCAGTCTACTGTGATAGGTAATGCGCGAATAAGTGGCATTATGCATTCACTTGAGCCACTCAAGGACAGAAGTAAAAACGGGAGAATGCTCAAAACCAATAGCCGTCGTAATATGACAAATCCTACAAGGAGGGAGCGTGCAGTCAAGGGCTCATGACATGCCAAAACGGCGTGGAGACAGGAAATTGAACCACGTACGTTGTTCTCTAGCTTGAGGACATTGCCGAAACGCGGTATGGACGGTTGCTTTTGACTGTGTTTCCGATTCATGTAAGCAAGGCTACCCGGCAGAGGCTGGAGATGTTGATAGTCCCGTTGGTCAGGAAGTGGACCATCTCGTAGATGAGGGAGTGTAAACTCCGTAGGTAGCGGCATACCGGAACTGCTAGGCCCCTTTGTAGATCGGCTGCTGGAACTGCTATGCTCCAGGTTAACAGAGCTATGAGACCGATGGGGATTGCTAGGTGCCAGCTGGCCGAAAGACGGCACACTCTGGCAGGGCGAAACGGAAAGGTCAACCGCACCTGCTGGCAGATTTGACAACTTCCTCTGGATCTGACAGTTTGCGGACTGTGAAAAGTGAGGTAGAATTAAAACATTAACATAGGCAGGAGAAAATGTAGGTTTCATCCTGACGATGCTAAAGTACCTGCTTTAGAAAAGGCAAGCTAAACGCCGGCATAAAGTATTGAGACAATAGGTAGGGCTGCGTTGACAATAGAGTTTGCAGTTAACCCCTAACCCCCCTAAGGACAGGAAACGCG